GCGAAAGAAGTATCTACATAGACTACCCATAACCAGAGAGTCAGGTGTATGTACCTGTTCTGGGGTCAAGAGCACTCCCAGAGGAACGTGTTCCTACTGGTTAATTACATCTTGGGGGATGCCCAAGAATACTCTCAATAAAAGGAGTTTTGCTTCATATTATCATAAACCTGAGGTATAAGTAATCAAAGGAAGGTTATTCCGTGTGGATACAATCTTGATGCTTCAAATATCACACTAAGTCATCGGGCAGAGAGTGAGTCTCCCACATCCCAAATGGGTAGCGGCTAATCAATACATGTGGCCCTCAGAATAACCTAAATCATCTTAACGGGGATATCCCAACACGCTAAAGCACGTCCGGACCATAAGGGCAGAGGACAAATTGTCCTATCCCAAATGGGCAGCAGCTCATCAGCATCAGACCTTCAAAATGATATTGACAAAGTCAAAGGAGAGCAGAGCTCAACGAGGCTAAAAAAAAGGAAGGTAAAATAATCCTATATGATAGAGGTAACTAGGTCAGGGTACCACGAACCCATCATCCACAACTACTATGACCCTAAGTCTACCTGGTTGTGAAGGTAGTTGACCCAACACGTCCTAAGATCCCCGGTCAGTAATCTGTGAATTGCATCATCCACAGAAACCTCAATAGCCCTAAGGTCAGAGAAAGAAAACTCTATCCTATGAATATAAGTAGGAGCTCGAAGAGGTGGGACTTATACCTACCGAAGTGGCAAAGATGCATCAGGAAGGAAGAGAAAGTGGAGGTTTAGCTGCAAAGCTGAAAATGCTCCAAATAAAAGGACTTATACCCCGTCTGGGTCGGGGAGCCTTCTAACATCCTAGGCACACTAGACAACCACCTATATGAAGGCATGTTGGGCCAGTCAGGTTGGAAAAGTACGGGGACTCTTCCTAGGGACATGCAAATATGAATGCAGTTATCTAGAATGATCCTAAGTATTGTGGAGGCCCTATTAACATATGCAGGAAAGTAAATGTTGCATTTTTTAAATTCTGAACATTTTAATCCGAAATTTTAATTATCTTGAATATTT